ATCCCAAAAGCGTAAAAGGACTAGTGCCGTCCTTGGATTCCGCTAGGGAGCGCTAAACTCAAAATTGTTCCAGAATACCCATGTTCCTTCATGCTCGAGGGCATCAGGTTCATGATTCCCGCCTTTGCATCTGGGAGTGCGGCAATGGCAGGGTGAGTTTGCATAGGGCGGAAAGGCAGCCCGAACAGACACTCACCAACAGTCCAAACACTAAACAAACCTCAAATAACCTCCTTCACATAAAACCTTAGAAGGCCAAGGGTTTAGTGCCTTCATGTACCTCTCCATCGTGCGACGAAGAGCCGCCTGGCTGGCACTGGCACTGAGCAGGTCAATGGTTTAGTCGTGATCGCACCCAGGAGCAATCCCCTGGGTTTCCACACAATACTCCTAGCTATACCCACAGTGACAGGTATGACCTGTATTTCATAGCCAGCGTGCCCAACTCTCACCCCGCAATGTGTTTAGCCGTAGCTCGTGCATAACATCAGTGATGCTACTATTAAAGCGCAGTTGCATATCCCTCACTGCATGGGTCTTTGCGCCACTCTCTTGTTTACACGGTTGCCATGTTCGGCGACATGCCCTTCTATGTTTCTGGAATCGTCTGGATGGCGATTGCTCTATGCTCCCAGTATGCCGCTGTATTCTATAGCTGAATCAACTTGGTAACGGTCTACAGGCATATTTATCTGAGCAAGAAAACAGCCTGTACTTGTATGTCACCTGACTCAATCAAGAACTAGACTCGATGATCTTCGAGTGATTGAGCCAAGCTGTTCCCCAGTTGTAACTCTAAGTAGTGATGCAAGACTGACCGTCATCATGATGACATAACCGTAGTGACAAATTTTCCAAATTCTCATGCATGTATCTCACGACTATGGAGATAGTTGACGTACAGATAACGAATTTTGCCATTAAGTTCAAGGCCTGTGCCCAAACATGCGTTCTGCTGTAAGCCGTGATGCAATGCTGTCGCTTTTGTATGAACGTGTCATGGCTTGTATGTACATTTGGATACATATGTATATGTATATGTGTATGTGTATGTATATGCATATGTATATGCATGTATACATATATACATACATACATATATATATATATATACATATATGGGCGACGAAGCTTATTTGGTTTTCGGCAAAAGGATGCGTTTCCTTTCTGCGGGCCCTTCTCTCGACTCGTTCCCATATTGCGTAGAAAATGCATTGAAGCCCTACATATCTGTCGGCTGGTGAAACGAATCTACGTTCTAGGTATAGTACTGTATTTTCATGCGAGCTCTGCGTCATCATGCCTGAGTACTCTATGCCAGGTTGGCACCTTTTCGTGAACATTGCAAGCTGGCAAAATCACCTGCGCTTTGTATACATGCAGAACAAGCCCACTAAGTCAATGAATCAATACATCAGCAAGCTCCAGGGTTCTTGTCTGAGGGTGAAGCAAAACAAGAAACCAATGAACCACTGGACCCTACCTGCATGCGGGAAAGCATTGTAAGGACAAGAACACGACGGCTTGTTCTGTAAACAACATACCTGACCAAGCCCTCATGGTTTTTGCCAGTGGGTATGACTTTCACGTCATTGAGAGCGATGGCAGAAGGGCACCTGTGAAGCGCAAAAAACTATCTTTCCGATAGCCAATATGCCAAGAAACCCACAAGCAATAAAGGAATACATCAATAATCAATAAACGGCTCCTTTTCCTCTGATCAGCAGAAGCCATTCGCTAATTTTTTCTGGAGTATTAGTTATGGGCTTACGGGTTCAGTGGTTCTTGGTCTAGTTTAACGGTTGCAGGTTTAACTGTTTTGTGTTTATTGTGTTTCGATTTTTGGCTTATGAGCCAGTAGTTACAAGACACTGTCAAGCTTCGGAGAGATCCGAGTCGACCGCGACCCACACGCACACACCCACATAAACAAACAGACGAACAAACAATAAACCAACAAACGAACGAACCAACGAACAAACAAACACGCAAACAATCAAACAAACGAACACACGGAAACAAACAAACATCAAACAACCAATCAAGCAAACAGGCAAACAAACAAACAAAGACACGCACACAGAGACAAACGAACAAACAACAAGCAACAAACAAGCAACCGGTAACCAATCAATCAAACAAACAAACACACATACACACACACATACACACACACACACACACACACACACAGACACACACAGACACACACACACACACAGACACACACAGACACACACAGACACAGACAAACACAGACAAACAAACAGAACTTTTGCGAAGCCGTCTGCCTGCGCTTCTGAAGACAGTGCGCCTGCCTCTTCGATGACCACTACCTGAACTGGGCAGTGACCACGAAGACGTGAGAAATGATACTCTTGGCAACCTGCAACCCTAATCCCGTGCTTTGCGTGTTAGGAACAGCAGCATCTCTGCTCCGGAACCCCGAAGTGGAGACTTTGATGAACCTGATTGTCGAAGTGGCTGCACAAAGACTGCCCCTTTCCTGCCGTCTGCCTCTTTCTAGTCTAGGGGGTTCATCAAAGCCAGCGGTCTCTCAAAAAGTATATATGACTTTTAAGACTAGTTCCGTCAGTATGTCTATCTATATACATATATACACATACATAAGTGTATATATACATATATATATATATACACATATATATGTATATATATATATATGTATATATATATATATACACACATATATATATATAAGGTTGTGTGCCCTCCTGAACCCTGGCCTTGAAGCCATGAGTGCCCAGGTTGGTGTGGGAGGCCACCTGGCAGATTCTCGCTTCGAGGTTTCTTGAGCGTTCTAGAGGGAGGGAAGGGGGAGGGGGGTGGGGTAGGGGGGAGTTTAGGGGTTTAGGGTTTAGAGTTCAGGATTTAGGGTTGAGGGGGAAGGGGACTATACTTCATTAAATAGGCCGTTTTAAATCCTTATTTTCGGCATTACGGCCCCCTGCACTCTGGCGTCGTAGGCTTTTCTACAGTTTTGCTGTTTCTGAGTATCCCTAAAAATCCAACAAACACACCCGTTAACTATTTGGCTACAAGCACCAACGCAACTGATGGACGGCTACAATCCCACGAGAAAACCTTTGCAACCCAAGCCCCAAAGCATCATCTGAAGATCTCTAAGGCCATCCGAATGCACTCTTTGACACATCAGAAACATAGAGTCCCTGAGCAACGCCACAAAATGATACGCAGATGACCCCCGGCCCCCCGTTCCATTGAACTTTGCGGGGCGTGAAATAGGGTCGGTAAAGATTACAGTAGGGTTTGGGGGGTATACCATAAATTAACTCTATCTAAGGACTTGTGCGCCTCTTTGATCAGCTGCATGACAACTGCTCGATCCTGTCAGGATACAAGCTGAGGTTCGAACACCAGGCTTGAACAAATCATGCAGGACCCTTGGTAGCAGGGTGGCATCACGGCCTCGCCCCAACCCCCACAGAGTACTTGGAACGGTCACCCCAAACCTGCGTGCAGTTGATCCCTGCATTTGGGTCTCCTTAGCATACTCTATAATTTGGGTTCTTAATGCAGGGGAATTACTAGACAAATGCCCAAGCTGAAGGCCCCCAAAAGACAGTATTCCCTAAACCCTGAATTTCAAAAAGAATCCTGAACCACTAAGCCCCCAAAAGAAAGTATTCCCTGAAGCCTTAACACTAGACCCTGAGCCCCAGGTCCTTGCGGCCAAGGTCGGCAGGTGTGAGCTGCAGGTGGTAGTTGGACGTCACCACCTGTAGCAGGGACCCACGGCTCCATAAGTGTAGGTGTTTCGAGTTCAGGGTTGATTGAACAAGTATTTATATGGAACATGGTCTGTTCGTAGTTTTGATGTTTGGGGTTTATTCTACTTCATCCCCCAAAGAACCCTTACTCCAGGCAAACTCTTGGAATAAGAATGGGAACCTGCAGGTGTTGGGCTGTCGCTCTCTCAATACGTAGAACACCAGGGCCGGGACAATTCGGAGAATATTATAAGGCAAGTCCATAGGATCTGTAAGTGGGAGGATATCTCTGAACCTCTGTGTTGAGCTCACCTTAGATCCAAATCCGCCGAAGCTGGGGCCGGAATAATAAAGAAACTAGGGTTGGGGGGGGGGGGGGGCGGGGGCGCTTGCCAGAAAAGGTATCAGGGGACGCCGATGAACGCGAGTCCGTGTACTACAAGATTCGACCTCTGTGCTACTCACTCCTTGCCGGAGAATGCAGCGCAGCCAAGATGCAAATGAGATGTGGCGAACGGTCGTCCGTATGGGGCGACTTCAACTATGATGACGAGCTCCACCGTTAAACAAGTAACTTCTTGTGCCAGCAAAAAACTCGCCGCTTCCAGCAAAAGGCAACAAAGCACGGGATCGCGGTAATAGCTGTGGTTGCATAAACATAGTGGCAGCATCAAAACGATAAGTCAACCGAGTAGTTCACTGCATAATCCTATAGCCCGTCTACTGGGACATTTAGGAGCAGTAGCACAGACTTTGCCGGCATTTTGACGCTCAGGACTCAGCCTGGCTGAGCTTTTCAGCTCTACCAACCTCGAGACTCAACCGACGCATGTCTAAGTGAGCTCGTGACCTCGAACTTTCGACTCTAAACCCTACACCCCTAAACCCTAAACTCTAAAGCCTAAACCCCCAAGCCCTACCCAAGAGCAAGCAACCTCGAATGACTTGTTCGTTTGAAAAAAGGTCGAGTGTCGAGGAGCCAAGGATGCAAGGTTTCTGGTCACATGTCCTGCTATAGAGGCCTTCGTCAAGAATCAGAATAGGAATAGGGTTTGGGGGGTATGTTATAGTATAAATAGAATCAGGACTCACCCCGCCAAAAAAAAAGAAGTACTGGCAGTTGTTTAGGCCCCTATCGTATCTTCCAAAAACTCCCGCGTCCATTTCCAACATCCGGAGTTTGGCTTTCGAGGGATCGGACATAACTTGCCTGCGAGATGCTGCTCAGGCTTGCAAGACCATCCAGTATTAGGGCATCGGAAGTATCTCTTGGATGAGTCCCTCAGCGAGCCACGAACAGCTGCAAAGACAAAGGAGAGCAGCAAGACTGAAAACTCCCAGCACGAAGTTTGCTAAGCTAACGTCCGCGTCGTCTGGCAAAGTGAGCTTGTCGCGTCTGCAAATGACGGGATGCCACATGGTATCAACCCAAAGAATCCACGAGTTAAACGTCAGAATCGAGGTAGCTGAGTCGTGCCGAAACTCTCCCAGTAAGCTGGACCTGTGTGCAAATCCAGTGAAGGGGTCTGTCACATTGATGGCATCAATGAGCTCTAAGCTTTTGCCATTGGGCTGTAGCGGCCGGTCACGATCTGTGTAGGCCTCAATGTCAGGGACCCTTGGTCGCTTCACCCAGCCATTGGATCCAAAGTACTTGTAGAAGACCATGATCTGTTTGGGGCTTCGACGGTCGCGACGGACCGTTGTAAGGGGCAGCAGGAAGTCCTGCAGGGGAAGTGAAGCTACAGGAAGGACGAGGTTGACGCTGAAGAGTGATTGGGTTCTGATGACACTTAAGATATTGGTATACTGTATGTCAAAAACATAACAGGGAACAACAAACAGCGACAAACGGAGCAACCTCAGCAAAGGGCACTTAGGCGCTGGGGAAGCAAGGTTCAGGTGTCCTTCAAGCTTCCATGCTGGGGTGGTGGCAATATGTACTCATCCAGGTCAATAAAAATCATCCAAAAGCAGGATAGTCCCAAACTCGCGATAGCATTTTGCTTGTAGGGTCCCGGGACAAAAAGCCTTTCATCCACGATTTCAGCCTCAACGAAGGGCCGCAAGGCCGCATGCAGCAAGGTTGTGTTAGCTGAAAGTACCACAAAATGATCAACACCCACAGCACTGTGCAAGTTGATCCATTGTTCGATGTAGACCTCTTCGCGCTCCACGACCCTGACGATCGCAACCAAAAAGAACTGCCTGCACTCCGTCTCGTGCGGCTTCGAGAATCCCATGACGCAATGTTCGCTGGCATGGAAGCGGCTCAACCGCTGCTGAATAGGCAGATTGGAGATTTCAGCAAGTTTTGGAAGGAATCTCAGAGCAGTGGTGTCGCGATATCCTGTCTTGTCCCGTATCCGAAAGGCCCTCTTGGACAACTCCTCCCGTGTCTCGTTTCGACCTGCGTCTATTCCTATCTCGCCCGCCTGAAAGTTGCGGTCCCAGCCGCTTCCCGTGAACTTGAACATGAAATCTTCATAGCTGCGGGAACGGTAATGATGGATCAATGGAAGCTGCGGTGAGAGCAGGAACTGGCAGAAAAAGACAATGTTGCATTCATCGCCTTGACAGAGGAATCCAAACCAAATCCCCGCAGACAGGCCGACGAGGCCCGCGACCACCAAGCAAAACAAGCTGCATTTGAAGCAGCTGCTGGCCATGGATCGGAGGAAGCATGCCTGCGATCCCGGTGCACGTGGGGTTATTAGACAACACCTGAAAACACACAAGTGGAGGCAACGGCTACTCTTCACATGAGTCTTTATTGAGTCTTCATCGTATGGGTGGTCGTCAAAATTTTGACCCATTTTGGGTCCCTAATATATACAGTACGGCACCTAATCTTTAGGGCACCCAAAAAGGGAACATAATTTTGGCAATCACCCATTTAGAGGTTCAATCAGACTAGAGTTTCGGGGGTTTTTAACTAGAAGCCTTTCGGAACCCTGAAAGCAACACTACTTTGCTCAGGCCCCTGTACTACTTAGCTGAGCTCCTGCTTTGTGGCCTCAAGAACTCGGCTGAGGTACTTGAGCAGTTGCTGCGGAGATTTCGACGTGTCACACCTAGAAGCAAGCTGTCTGAGACGGGCTGCCACATGGCATCGTGCGGTTACGTCTTCACGGATATGAACATGTCTTCCAGAGGAAGAACCTCTAGGACTCGCACAGGATTGCAACTAGAAGTTCTGTTGTGGTTCTATATTGATCATGTGTGCAGATAAATACAACAATAGCTGCACATGTGATAGATCCACATAGACATATGTTGCACAATACGCATTTGTAGGAAGAAATGCTGCATTTGTGCATGTTTGCATGCATGCACGCATGCATGCACGGATGCATTGCACGCATGTATTTATGGATGTTCGTATGTACGTATGTAAGTATGTATGCACCTTTGCATGTGTGTGCTGATGGGCTTATGCATACGTGTATGTGTCTCGGCTTGTTTGCGTTCTGATTGCGTGGTGGCTTGTTTGTTTGCTTGCTTGCTTGCTCCGCTTGTGCATACACGGTGCAGTTGCACATGCATAAAGACAACTTGTATATCTGTCTGTAGACCTATCCAATTACCTATGCATATATCTCGTTACCTACCTGCCTAAACGGACATGCGTGTACTCATAGGGTAGCTGTGTGCTGGTTTCGCAGATTGCATTCATGAGTCGTGAAAGCTATGTCGCATGCGTCCATAAAATATCGTAGCTGTTGCGAGCTACACGCCGGCATTTCCATCTGCACAGGATATTTACCTTTACGCCACACCCCAAACCCTAAAGCCTGTATACGTTCATGTATATGTAAAAGTATACGAATATGAATATGAAGTTGTGTATATTTAAACTCATGTATATATGTGTGTATATATATATATATACAGGCAGCTCCTGTATACATATATATATATACATATATATACACACATAGTATGTATATATACATATATACACGTATATGTACATAGATAAACTGTTTCTCCCTCTCTCTCAAAAGCTTACGCACCTACACACACATATATACAAAATGCATATATACGGATACACATATACATATCTCTGTACAGTACAGTAAGCCGACATTGTTGTGTTTTGAAATAGCATATATAGGTAATCAGTATCATCAATGTGAGTCTATGTCTCCGTCCGGACGTATATGTTTGCACCTAGTGTGTTCTATGCTGTGGCACTACGATGCCATACCATGAAACCGTGCAAGCGACATCACAGCACGAGCCCGTGCCAATCCAAGAAGCGTGTGCATGCAGAGATTCCGGCTTTCCCAGTTTGCCTGGATGTCCACCGTGTTCGAGGGCGTGTTGGGGTTCGGAGCCACCGTTTTCGTCTCCACCTGCACTGAACGGCACTGCATGCAGGTCTTATCACTGTATAGCACTGTACTACAACCCGTTCTTCTCTCGCACATGGCCACATGGTACAAGCCTGACAGGCGTAGCCGGCGCATGGATTTCTTGGTCAGCGCCGCACAAGAGCCCGGGCTTACCGCTTACGAGGGTTCATCAGCACGGGATGAGATGACTTCCTTGTTTTTAGAATGATTTCCTTCCAAGACATGGGCGGGTGAGGGATCAAAAAAAATTAAATAAGGATCAAAAAAAATTAAATGGAAAGATCAAAAAAAATTAAAATAAGGATCAAAAAAAATTAAATCACTCAAAATACAGCAATTCCTGGGGCAGAGGCATCAAAAAAAATGAAAATAAGGATCAAAAAAAAATTAAATCACTTAAAATATAGCAATTCCTAAATTTTTCCAATGGAAAACACTGTTTTCCTAGGGATTTTCTTTTGTTTCCTTAGGATCTGTTTGGTTTTTCCTCTGGAAAACACGATATTCCTGCGGATTCCGTGATATTTCCCTAAGTTTTCCTTGATTTTTCGTAGGAAAAAGCTTATTTTCCTATTACCTATGGCGTTCGTGTCATTTCTTCAGGTTTTCAGAAGGACAACATATGGTTGTTCCTCTGGAAAATCAAATTTTCCTTACAATTTCACATTTAGGACGGAATTCCTGTTGTAGCTGTTGCTGGTATTCCGCTTCATCATCTATCTTAAACACGCCCCTCATTTGGCGATTCTGGTTCAGCATGTATCTACAAGGGCGGAGACGCCCTCATTTGCTGGGTTTCAAAAAAAGGCATATGCTTCAAAGCAACCTTGCACGGCTTAAAACAGCGGGGGGGTTGGGGGGGGGCGCAGCCCCCCCCACTTGCAGAGACAACGTTCACATGATGGGCTTCGAAAACACTCTTTGAATCAAGCTTGCACGTCTCGAAAAGCGCGGCGGCGGGTGTTTTGTTCTTCCGTGCCTGTTCGTGTCTCTTCTTCCGTTAGCATTCTAACCCAATATATATAACATAGTAAACCAGAAGAACGACATAAGATGGTTCGACAACACAAAAATGGTGTGACATTTTCTGACATAACAGAACCTTGCTTCTTATAGCATATAATAGCATACTAAAAATACAACAATACAATATAACAAAAGATGACATAGAACAAAACAACATCTTAGTTTATAGTGTAGTACATTGTAACATAGTACAGTACAGTGTGTATATTTACAACATAATATGTAGTATATTTTATAAGTTACATTTACATTATGATATATTATGTTACGGTACATTACGATATTATGGTAAATTCGATTGGGCTATGTAGTATCCTGTTGCTTGTATCTTTGTTTCTGTGATGTTTTCATATTCTTTCTCTTTCGTATTTTCCAACTTTGCGTTTTTATTCTGGACTTCTTTCTTTCTTTCGCTCGTTCATTTCTTTTCTTTCTTTCTGTTGTTCTTTCTTTGTTCATCTCATACTCCCTTCCTTTCTTTCTTGCTTTCTTTCTGGTTTGATTTATTTCGTTCTTTCTTTGGTTCGTTCTTTCTTTCGTTCTTGCTTTCGTTCTTTCTTTCGTGTTTGCTTTCGTTCTTTCGTTCTCTCTCTCGTTCTATCTTTCTTTCTTTCTGTTTTCCTTTCTTTCGTCCTCTTTAGATACAGCAATTTGCCTAAGTTTTCCTTGATTTTTCGTAGTAAAAAGCCTATTTCCCTATTACCTATGGCGTTCGTGTCATTTCTTCAGGTTTTCAGAAGGACAACATATGGTTGTTCCTCGGGAAAATCAAACTTTCCTTCCAATTTCACATTTAGGACGGATTTCCTGTTGTAGCTGTTGCTGGCATTCCGCAACTCATTTGGCGATTCTGGTTCAGCATGTATCTACAAGGGCGGAGACGCCCTCATTTGCTGGGGTTCAAAAAAAGGCATATGCTTCAAAGCAACCCTGCACGGCTTAAAACAGCGGGGGGGTTGGGGGGGGCGCAGCCCCCCCCCATTTGCAGAGACAACGTTCACATGATGGGCTTCGAAAACACTCTTTGAATCAAGCTTGCACGTCTCGAAAAGCGCGGCGGCGGGTGTTTTGTTCTTCCGCGCCTGTTCGTGTCTCTTCTTCCGTTAGCATTCTAACCCAATATATATAACATAGTAAACCAGAAGAAACATAGTACAATACAGTGTGTATATTTACAACATAATATGTAGTATATCTTATAACATTAGGTTACATTATGTTATATTATGTTACGGTACATTACGATACTATGGTAAATTCGATTGGACTATGTAGTATCCTGTTGCTTGTATCTTTGTTTCTGTGATTATTTCATGTTCTTTCTCTTTCGTATTTTCCAACTTTGCTTTTTTATTCTGGACTTCTTTCTTTCTTTCGCTCGTTCATTTCTTTTCTTTCTTTCTGTTGTTCTTTCTTTGTTCATCTCATACTCCCTTCCTTTCTTCTTTGCTTTCTTTCTGATTTGATTTATTTCGTTCTTTCTTCTTTCGTTCTTGCTTTCGTTCTTTCTTTCGTTTTTGCTTTCGTTCTTTCGTTCTCTCTCTCGTTCTTTCTTGAATGGCTTTCTTTCTTTCTTTATTTCTTTCTTTTGTTGTTTATTTCTTTCTTTCTTTCTTTCGTTGTTTATTTATTTCTTTATTTCGTTCTTTCTTTCGTTCGTTCTTTCTTCCTTGCTTTCTTTCGTCCTTCCTTTCTTTCTTTCTTTATTTCGTTCTTTCTTTCTTTCTTTCCTTCTCTCTCTCTCTGTCTTTCTTTCCTTCCTTTTTCCCCTTCCTTTCGCGGATACCCGGTTAATTTTTTTTGATCCTTATTTAATTTTTTTTGATCCTTATTTAATTTTTTTGATCCTTATTTAATTTTTTTTTAACCCCTATCCCTGTGTCAAACGGCCTTCACCGTCTCTACACCTGGGCCGTAGAGGGCGTGGAGCAGGGCATGGACACCTCAGCAGTCTTCGGATCTGAGATCTTCTCTGCGGAGAAGATGATTTACGAAACAAGCGCTGGGTTTGGGCTTGGGGTTTAGGATCAAAGTAAGTCTTTCTCTAATCGCCGCAGATGTTCATGCGAAAAGGTGTATGCCAAATGGGTTAGGGACCCTTTGCATTCCAGGTTTGCCCTGCGTGATGGGTGCCCGGAAGTCGATATAAGGATATAACGCCATACATTCTTACACGTTTCAGCATGTCTATACAATGCGTCGCCAATGTAGTCAGACTGAAATCGTCATGTGACTGCGGCTGATGCCCACAACCCTGCATCACTTTGAACCTCCCCACGGTT